TTTTTTTTTAAATTAAATTCTTACCACAAATTTCCAAGACTGGTGTCTGCAAAATACATAACAATGACGATTGATGCATCGCAGTATTCTGTCTTGTATATCATTACAAAGTTAAGAGAAGGTGAATCCTTACTTACAAATAATACAGTCCAAACAGGTATGCAGGCACGTACAGCACTAGAGCAAGGTGTCTCCAGTTTCTTATGAAGTAGGCAAACAGTACGATATAGAAGTAACCGATGCTGAAGAAATACATTACCCCAAAACCAGCAAAATTGCGTTTGCTTGGGCCCACGAATTCAACTCCTGCAAAACAGAAATCGGCCGAGTGTTTAATAAGCGTTGAAGAGATAAAACAAAATGACGAAATTAATTATTAGAGGGAATTTTTAAAAATATCAAGCTACGAATATTTCCAGTTCAGCTTATGCATGGTCAAGTCATGAATAGCGTGTTTGGACTTCTCCATAGTTTACTGTGAACATAATCCTCATATTTAAAGTAGCGCTAAACTAATTGTCATATGGACCCAGCGGCTGCAAAGAAACAAATAAAAGGCATTCGTCATTCTACACTGTGACAAAGACGACATCTTTGCTTTACAACATATAAATAAAAGAGCTAAATACTGGGCATATTAAGTTGGCTCATACATCTCAGTAGCGCATGCATATACTAAATTAAAATGTACACATAATGGACCTCCATACACTTCTCTTATATACAGTATATGAACATTTATTTCAAGTTCATTTATTTCTCAGTTAGTTTCCTACCTAAAGTGAATGTGGTCAGGAATATACAGCCGCTGAGTGATCCCTGTAAACCTTGAGACACTATGTATACTATCATATTGGGAGAAAGGGCGGTGAGGATCCCCACAGATGCCGAGAGAATAATTGCAACCAAAAACGTGGGTCGTCTCCCGAACCTGAAATCAGCAGTTATGTTATCTGGATAATTTCAAACAAACAAATAAACAAACAAAAAATACCCAAAAGGACAGAGGGTCACAGTTAATGAGATGTGCTGTTAATTGACTGTCACCTATTAATGGGAATGTAAAAGATAATGTTATAAGGGTAGCTAGAACACAAACAGACTTCATAGTGGACCAAGAAGCGTGGGTGAGACGGTGGGTAGGGGTTCAAATCTTATATTGAAATATTTATTGCATTTTAAGTCCCTCACATAAGGCCTTTGTAAACTTAATAGGTCTCCCTTCAGTTTCTCTTCTACCACAGGAGAGGTCAGTGGTACATTGTACCAAGTTCTTCACTGGATGCATAGCGTGTCTTTGCATATATAAAAAGCTGATGTGTCAAAAAAGACATTGTAATAATTTATCATGGTCAAGGGCACCCGAATGGTGGCAAGAGGGTATGGGCTTTAAAATGTTGGTTTTACACTACAAAGAACGCCCTTGTCCTTTGATTGTGGACTGTTTAATTTTGACAGATAACAGGATGGAAATAAGAAGAGTATCCGTTTTTTTCTTTTCTTTTTTCTTAAAGTCACAAAATCTTTGACTCAGGGCAGGTGTGGAATATGAGACTTTTACACATAATACAGTATAGTATATAAAGAGCTTCTATAAATCGTGTATACTAATCTCATATCATGGTTCATTAATTGAGGTGACGGTATCAGCTAGCATAAATAAATGAATGAATGGAATGAAATAGATGTACGACAACAGATCGAGGTAAGACAAATATTTGATAATTTTAAAGATTTCGACTGTTTTACTGTTTAAAGTAGAATCTCTAGCCTTTCATTTGAATTAATCGATGTTTGTGTTTATCTAAATGAGGATCTTCTCACATGTAACTTAACAACAGGCTTTTAGGATACGTTTTTCAGTTCATCTGATGACCAAATATTTTATATATTGATATATTCAGATTGAAAAAAATTTAAATCCCTCTGAAACGTCAGAATTAAAAAAAACATAAAAAACCCCGATAGAAAACCAAAAATCTACAGGCATTTATACTTACTTAATTATATAAAAACATAACTTAATAGACTCATTTTTACACTTACCGATCACTTATTATCCCGGATAAAGCGTCCCCAACCAGTTTCCCGACAAAGAATACGGACTGACTTGTGCTCACCAGCCATTCGTTGCCACAGCTCAGATCAAACTGGGGTAAATAAGAAATATAATTACAAAGAGAGAGAGAGAGAGAGAGAGGTATAGAAGCAAGAAGCACAGACTGACCTTATACAGCGTGTTCCTATGGTACCCTTTTGGGATATTGACAGAATTTTATTATGTCATTGCAAAAGAGTTACAGGTGACAAGTGTTATAAAATTGCCATTAGCAGCATTCCTACCTCCGAGATCACCGTTGAAGTATAGATTTCTTGACTGTAGTCCAGTCCCTGAGGACATTCGACACTTGCTGTATTATTACCAATGTCCACAATAGAGGCATTTCTGTCCCATGATTTCAGCTTACAACTGCTTCTGGTCAGTTCGCCGTCTTTTTCTTCCCATGGGATGGTCAGGTTCAGCAGCTCCTCGTGAGAAAGGTTTCCGTAGACCCTCTCAGCGCTCGATACGTATTCGGCTGGGATTTTACAGTTGTGTTTGGGCGTTGCTGCGAGGAACACCGAACAAAGTATTGGTAACGCAGTATACAGTCCTACGAGACATACCAGAAAATACTGCCTTTTCTGAAAAGTACCAAATTCTCCAATAATATGTAAAAGCTCGTCCAAATGCATCATGTAAGACTTCGGTGCGTCAGTCTATGTGCTTCAATTAAATCCTATACCTGTAATATTTTTAACAAATATGTGTCGAAAAACGGGGGGCTTAATAAGGGTTTGCACGCGAGAAGATTGGCTAAAGCGGTTTAAGTAGCGAAGTTCGGCGTCCAATGAACGACAGCGTCATCCCCGAAAGCATGGTAGTGCACGTTGCCTAGTCAATCTCCCGTCATGATCTACTTGGCACTTCTCTTCCCACTCACGTCTTATGCTGTTTGCTGCTTTAGGCTTTTATGCACTTTGAGCTGCTGAATGACCTTTATGCTTTTATGCATAAAGTATGACACACAAATAACTTTGTTGTGAATAAAAAGAGGTAAAGCAAGCTAAATAATACTACCTGAAGGGACCTCGAAAGTAAACCGCGTGTTACTTAATACAGCTCTGTCGTCGAAAGGCCAACTACCTTGCCACCAGTACGAACGCCAACTACCTAGATACCTCTCATAAGTGTGGTCGCATGCCCATTTGCCTTACTGCTACTATTGTCAATTTCAGATATTGGTACAAACAGAATCGTTTGATATCGATAAAATGTATGTGTACCGTTTCTGTCGGTCAAAAGTGCATTTATTCAAAATTTTAATTATTACATAATCATTAGTGTTTTTATGAAGTTAAGTTAAAGTTAATTTAATTCTTTTAATTATTACCTTATGTCATCAATATTTTTCATGAAGTAAAGTCAAATATAGTGTCAGAAAATTGATTACACCATATTTTTGTTACCTGTAAATTCCTGGATAAAACTTAAATGTGAAGTTTTATAACGGAAGCAGCGGTATCTTAAACCACAAAAGTGATGCTCGGTGCAAATTGTGATCACACAACTCAGAGTTAGCAATCAAAGTAAATGTACTTCAGAATTAGCGAACTTAAAGCTGCATTAGCACAAATGTGCAAATACATGTAGGTTCTGTTTCAAATTACGCTCTAGAGATACAATGCATTTGTTGTTTAAAATCTCGCCCACTGTGTTAGCTGTGCCGTCAGCCAACTCTACCACACCTGTGGAAACAATCTATGTAGGTCTAATAGTAATTTATAACTCCAGGGCCCCGTATCTCGAAAGCATCGCGTATTGCGAATAGCGATATCACATAGAGGCTACAGTATATTATATGGGGCGAGTATGGGCGAGTTATGGAATCGACACACTAATCGAGACGCTTGCGCTTGGTCGGAATACGCGTTGCTTTCGGGTTACGGGGCCTAGTGCGAGCCAGTGTGACAGGAATAGTTGTCCGCTAGGAACCGTAGTCTGTCACCACCACTTTGCAGAGGAGATACTCGTCCCACATACCTGTACTTATGTACCCCAATTACCCCGACTAACCATAACCTGTACTAATCATATGGGGACCCGGACTTTCATTTCTATGACTATCATTCCTGTCACACCGATAAGCAATTGATTATTTAATGTATATATTGGACATGCACCTCATACATGGATTTTTGTACTATTTTGTGAGAATATGGATGATGCCCTTACCCAAATTTGAATCTAATTATCCTCCCTAAGTAATTGACAGTATACTCTAAACGTCACAGAATTGAAAACCACAATTAATTACCTATGCGTGCTCTCTCTTAATGAATTATTCAAGAAGTAATAGGGTAAGATATTATATGAAAATTGCCTAAACATAGCCATGGGAGTCATTTGCATATGTGTCTAACGTACAGTAAAGCTGGGTGTAGGTTCTTTACTTAACGAGCATTTTCTTGTTATTTTAGATATTGAGCTAAATATGATTGTCACAGCACTGTTAATGTAACGTCTGTTTAGGACCTGATCAATTTTGATCAAACATGATAGTTAGGGACCATTCCCACAGATATTTGGATCGATCTATCTCCCTGGGGAGTCTCACTTTATTGCTAACAACTTAACCGGCTTAAATGTCTGTCACGCCTAGTAAAGCTGTTAGAGGGTGATTATCTTTACCCCCTAACTGATTCGGTGGGCGTGACAGACATTTAAGCCGGTTAGTTGATAGCAATTAAGTGAGACTCCGCAGGGAGTTAGACCGATCCAGATGGATCATTCTAGGCATGGCAGCCCAGTCTCAGAGTCTCGTGTGAAGCTCTACCGTTCCTTTGTTGTCGTTGGATTGATCTTTGATTTTCTCAATTTCCTTTTCATCATCTCCTGTTTCCCCTTTAGATTCGGTTTCTTCATAGACTCTGTAATTGTTAAGGAATGAAATATAATTTTACGCACGGTAAGGTTCAAAGTTGCCAGCTACCACGACTATGGTTTATGAATATTGATAAACTTGTACTGTTTAGGCATTTTTATCTGCTCGATAGGTCCATTGGTATACGCTCACCTAGGAGATGCCAACATGGTGTCAAATTCCTCTAGGTTCTGCGGGAGATCTCTGCGCACAGTCTCAGGTAACAGAAGTGACAGCAGTCCAGCGATGATTGATTCTGATCCAAGGATGATAAAAGGCAGTGCAGCAATTGGTTCCTTCAGTAAAACAACCTGGGGTGCCAAGGCGCTGCCAACTCTGGCAAAAGTAGAGGCCAACCCCAGAGCTATGATTCTGGAAAAGTCAAGCATTCACTGGGACTCGAGAAAAATTACCAACAAGCTTTCGTGAATTTTGTTTAGAAAATTCGTCACTATAATGGTTTGTTCTTCTATATAAAACCAGAGACAATTGTATTACTGGTTCAGGAAGGCCTATCTCATTACAGTTGGGTAAACCTCCGCTGTCACCACATAGATTATCGTAAAAGAAGCGGAGATTCCCATCTTACCAAGGACTGCCAACGTTACTATTAACCAATGTAAATCTAAAATAAAACAAAGTGTAGAACAGTGAACAAATGTCTTAAAAGTGATCAGTTCTTTGTGAGCATTGTATCACCTGGACAGTGGTGCGGCAACGTCACTGGGATCAGAAGTATTATATTGTGTTTCTTTTCTTTAAAAAAAGCCATTGAATATGCGTCGTCACATGACACATGCCCAGCAATTCAGAGCTTAAATCGCCAAGAATTGAAAAATGAGAATTATGCATTGTAACTTGCCTTCCATTGTCCTTCGGCATATCTTTAAACTCTTAAATAACGATGCCCTAAAAGACTAATCATATCAAGCTTAAATTACGCTTAAATGCGGGTTCCTGTAACCTAGGATATATAAAAATAAGTTATTTTCTTATTTGAAACTTAGCTGTACCGGTATTATGTAAAGGACCTATCCCCAAGAAATTATTATACACGGAATTCGTTATTCCTATAATATTTTTAAACTTTACCTGGAGACAGGCTACCAGAAACAATGCAAGCTACCCCTCCAAGCACCATAAATCCTGTCAATGATTTTCTTCTGCCAATTTTGTCTATGAGGAAAACAGCCAGAGTGTAGGCTGGAATTTCAATGGCCCCCATCAGGGTAAAGTTTAGGTAGAGATCACCTCCCAATCCTTCGGAGTTTAGTGCCAAACCGTAATACACCATGCCGTTTACTAACCTAATCAAAAAATATAAATTAAAATAAAGGCTACACCACTGAAACGGCCATTTAATCATATAAATTTGACCACCTCAAATTTTAGCTCACCAGTTGAAGCACACGTTTGCCGTCAGTGCGGTCCGTTTCCACGTTCTCACAAGGTCTAAAGGGGTGTAGGTACGAGCAGAGATGACTGCCTCATCCTTGTCCTCTATGACAGACTTTATGGTCTCATCATCAGGCTCAGAGTTGATGTTTGTCATAGAAACTGATCGGATCAATTTCTCTGCTTCTTCGATGCGGCGCCTTGACAGCAGCCATCGGAAAGATTCGGGAAGAATGCTGGAAATTAGAACGGAAAGGGGTGCAGTTAACCGTGCCTTAAAAAATACAAATACAAAAAATACAAAAGTGACACATCATTGGCACTATCAAATTCACATTAACCTTGCTTGTTTCATAGACAAAACGTTAAATCTTTATGTAAGGGATGCATTGTTCAATTAATTTGTGCTTCAACGCGTTTTAACATTAAAACGTGTAAGACAGGGCATCGCAGTATCTCTTTTATTAAAGCTGGTGAGAATGCTATTAGTTGTAATTCAGATGGTAGTCAAATTAACTTTTTAATTAAGTAAATGGGAACAAGATATCAGAGGGAAGCAAGTGGTTTTAACCAGAGGCACTTTTGTTTAAAATTATATGGGCTGTGAAATATTAAAAATATTGCACAATAATCTGTGAATATCAGCAACTACTGCGGATGCATGGAAGGTGATAGATGATTCCTAGCATAAGATAACAGAGTTAAGGTACATTTTAATAGCTAAAAATAATTTACTTACAAGTAATACACTCCAAACAGGTATGCAGGCACGTACAGCGCTAGAGCAAAGTGTCTCCAATTTCTTATGAAGTAGGCAATCAGTACGATGTAGCAGTAACCAAAGCTAAAAAAGTACATAACACCAAATCCTGCCAAATTGCGCTTGCTTGGGCCTACAAATTCAACTCCTGATAAATGAGAACAATAGAATATTCGGTGAGCGAAAGCGACTGAATAAACAACAAACGTTTTGGAAGTATTTCGAAGGAGTTCAGACTTAATGGTGCACATATCCTAAATTCCACCTTTGCGTGATCAGAACAACGGGGAAAGATTTTGTACCAAAAAGCATATGTGAACTCTATGCTTTGGATTAAATACAACGGTAAACTATGTACATTAGACTTCAACTGAAACCTAAAATTAATATTTGATGTACCCACCAAGTACAGTTTTTTATCGAGTTATTCAGAAATGCGTCTAAAGAGCGCCCACGGTACTCATGCATGTATGACTAGGCACCGGTCGTGAGCAAATATTCTCTCTCTCACCTTCTGTTTAATGCTGTATGTACCCAGTCAGTAGTGCATAGCGACCAAAATACATGTATATCAACAGACCTGGACATTATCCAAAATTTACACTGTTGTTTATATAGCTCAGGCAAGACAGACGATTAATGGAATACACAAGACCTATCTCTCTTGCTGCCTCCTTTTCTGTTGGTATCCTACCTAATGTGAATATAGTCAGGAATAAACACCCGTTAACCAATCCCTGCAGACCAAGAGACACTATAAATACTATCATATTAGGAGACAGGGCGGTAAGAATCCCAAAAGAAACCGACAGCATGATCGCCACCAGAAATGTTGGCCGTCTTCCGAACCTGAAATTATTATGAATTATCATAAATTGCGACATTCACTATCTCAATAAGCACAAAGAAAAAATTGAACTGCTTTATATAAGCACGTGGTGAATATTGGTGCCTTAATAATAGGTATGTTTCACAAAGAAACATCATTTATAGAACATGCAGGGTAGATTTCATTTACAACGGTACTTTGCAGTCTGATAAAACGTTAAAAAGCTAAATATTTCGTGGAAATCAAATCATTTTAAGAATTGTAAATGAGGAGATACGATTAATAGAAAAAATTAATTTAAATAATGAATAAATACAAACGTTTTATTATTATTTCATTAGATTAAATAGAATTTATTTGGCACTTGTTATGGTGTTTTTAAAATTAATTATTAATGTTTCAGTGTAAAATTTGCCTTAGGATTTGGCATTTATAAAACGTGTAAGTAATGCATATGTAAACTATTGCAAGTGCAATTCCAAATACGCTGATGGACATTTTGGCTCTTGTAGACTTCGTCATTTAGCCCTGATAGCTAATAAACGGAAGAAAGTGTCCACCTACAAATTAGGTAGCGACTCCCTCTTAAAAGTATGACATACTATGTAGTCCAAAAGTACATATTTTTTTTCTTTTTTCAAATATATTTTGGAGAAGCAGGCAGAATTGACTGTAATTGCCCCGCTGTGTGTCAGGAAACTAGAGCGAAGAATTGGTACGGAACATATCGGAGGAAGACAACACATGGATAGGGTCACGGCCTACGTTATGTCGTTTATTGCTGTTTTATAGCCGGATTTAATTGGTCCATATGTTTGCTAAGATTTTATATGGAGGGTGGGTTCAGTTTCTGGAATACGAAGACGTTGATAATGTCTTACCAGGCAGTACATTTCATTGCGTTCATTTTGGGTCTTCAATAATATATCACCCGCGTATATGTATTTATGTTTTTGCAGTACTCAGACCTAGGCATTCGTATAGGCTTACCTATCACTTATGATCCCGGATAAAGCATCCCCCACCAGTTTCCCAGCAAAGAATACCGACTGACTTGTGCTGACCAGCCATTCTCGGCCACAGCCTAGGTCAAACTGAACAAAATTAGTTTTAGCAGAATTTACTAACACGTTGAGCAATGTGAATAGCAAGCATATGCAAATGTATTTGTTGTCTTGAAAGTAAGTCGCAATGCCAGGTTATGATTGTCTTAATTAAAACTGATTTTATTTACTAAGTCGAATGTTTATAGCCGGTTATTCCATTTTAGCAGTCTAAGCCAAACCAAAACGATTGTTAGGTTTAAAAAGTCCGTCTCACAAAATGACTTAATTTTTTAGGTTCGTCACAGAATACTTATCTCACATGATGACTGCGTAGGCCTAAAGCTGTTAATCTTATATCAGTCTTGGCTCATTTTCAGATGTTCTTCTCACAATAAACTAGATGGTGTCGATGGGTAGCCCCATCCTTGCCCAAACTGTTAATCGTAACTCGCCCTCAAAGACCCCATTCCCTTGATATCTAAGGGAATGCCTGGGTCCTATTTGTAAATTTGTTTTAGCAAGTTATATTCAAAGTAAAATCTTATTGATGCATAAAAATGTTGATGAAAAAATGCTTAATGTAAAAAAAAAAAAAAAAAAAAGAATCACTCAAACCCCCTAACCCCTAGGAACAGCCCAACCCCGAAGCCCACATAAATAATGAATGGGCCTTACACATCCCTGATGACAGGTCTAACAATATCAAAAGTTTAAACTTCTGAACTCTAATGGTATAGGAGGAGATAGCGGAAATTACAATGAATGAACCACCCCCAGGAACAGCCCACCCCCCTGTTACACTAAATTTTCGAAATACCCATGCACATCAGCTTTCAGCTTCCTAACTCTAATTGTCCCTAAAGTGCAGGGATAACGAATTTGGTATTCTGAAATAGGTAACTGTCAATTTTTGGAGAAACATCTAAAAAACATTTGGATTAAGAATTTAATCTAAGAGCTCAAAAATACGAGGCAAGTGATCCTTCAGGTTCTTTGGAAAACTACCTTGTCCATTATTTTGACTACTTGACTTCTCGTCTCGGCCTGTTATGTGCAACAAGCCCATGGTTATATAAATTAAGAAAAAATTAAAGCTGCGTCATTACCTCTGATACCGCAGTTGAAATATAAATTTCTTGACTGTATTCTCGCCCGCTAGGGCATTCAACACTTGCTGTCTTGTTATCACCATCATCCACAGCAATGGGGACCTCATAATAGGAGCCGTTTCTGTCCCATGATTTCAGCTTACAACTACTTCGGGCCTGTTTGCCGTCCTTTTCTTCCCATGGGATGGTCAGGTTCAGCAGCTCCTCGTGAGAAAGGTTTCCGTAGATCCTCTCCGCGCTCGATACGTACTCTGCGGGAATTTTACAGTTATATGTGGGCGTTGCTGCAAGGAATACGGAAGAAAGTATTGGGAAAGCACCATAAAGTCCTACAAGACAGACTAAAAGATATTGCTTTTTCTGAAAAGTACCAAATTCTCCAATAATATGTAAAAGCTCGTCCAAATGCATCCTCTTTTTCCGTATATGGCAGAAATTCGATTTAATACATTAGCTTCAAACCCCCGTTTGCGCTGGTTTCTAAAAGAGGTGACCTTAACAGCATTTCTAATACGAAAAGATATGCTTTATCTTTTGTTTTACGGTCTTGAGCACAAGCAAAACAACTTCGTTATCATTTATTGCTGACTTGTCATGCTCAGTGTAACGTGTTATTCAAGGCTCTTATGCGTTTAGTGCATTGCATATAATTCAGAACTAAGACCCTTGAACAAAGTTATTGAGTGTGCGCTAGTTATAAAAGTTAAGTCAAGAAGTAGATGACTGAATGCACTACCCCGCCATGATATTTCACGCGTGCTACAATACCATTTGAACGAAGAAATCAAATATAGAGGGCGGAAATTAGTGTCTCAATTTTTTAGCGTCTCTCAACGCAGATCCTAAATTTAGGATGGAAAAATCTATTGTTAACTCACCTACTAAGTGACCTCTGTGTACAGGTATTGGCTTCGTCATCTTAAGTTTCCTTTCGGATTTTTATTAATTAATGAACTACTCCACATAAGAAGACTATTTGGTATCTCATCGACTTCCGTATATATATTCATTTTTTACAAACGTTCGTGTTCTCGAATCAATGCTAAATATAATTAACAGGAATACCCAAGTAATACTAATTATGCGGATAGTAATGTATATTTACCTAAAACATCATTTATCAAAAACCATTGGGGGTCTAACATCTACAGTGGTATTTTTTTGTGTAAGATAGTTTTAGGGACTTATCCGACTTAGGAAATTCTTGGTATCGGCACGAGTTATTCCCAGAGAAAAAAAGCGGGTTTGTTCCAAAACCAAAAATAAATTTATTACCTGGACATTGCCTGGTTTTATGGAAAAAAATCGGCGTGACAGAAATAGCGAAATCTTACTTTAAATGAGATAAGGGGAATTGAAAATAGAATTTCGACTGATAATGAAACGAGCATGTATGCCACTCTATTAACATGGGTAGATCCAGGGTTTTTTGAAGGGCGTGGGGGGTCAGCGGATGCGAAGCCGAGCCTACCCCCCTTGGTGTGGGGTCGAGGCCCACTTAAGGTCCATGAAAATTCTGGTATTTTAGAGGGCGAACGATGCAATTTGGCACGATTTAGAACTATAATTAAAATTCTAATTTCAAACGGGAACCATTGGTGCGATTTTCTTCAGAAATCGAAAAGGGGGTCAGGACCCCCTGACACCCGACCTTAATCGGCCATTGATTAAAATTTATTCGAAGTATGCTGACTATTTTGCCATCTGTACACGCCTTCCGTTTTTTTTTTAACAAAAAGAGAAAATACAGAATATAATTTTTATTCAACTATCAAATAATGTACCATTCAATTTTAAAATTACTTTAGTAATCATTGAATCATGTAAACGCAATGAATTAATAAATGGTAGTATTATTGAAATTTAAGATTTTCCATTCCTGTTTTTATCATTTAACAACAGAATTTATACAGTCCGATAATGCTCGTCTTGTGGTCGGAAGCTGGCACCCGATGCTCTGGGGCCGTGGGGAAAAACCCGTCTAAACCCTTCGTGGGGAATGCCAGGAAAGTGCCCACGCCCGGATACTTCAGTCTTTATAACATGATAACATCAGTTTCTTTATTGGCACGGCAGCTTATGGTTTAAGAATATTGTCCAGTTTTATACAGTATGGTGTGACTGAAGAAACTTTCTCCCGTGACTACAAACTATTCTCTACATAATTATACACAAGATAAAGCACAAGAATTTATCAAAATAATTCCAAAGTAAAGAGGTGTTGAAGCAAATTAAGACAATCACTTAACACAATGAAATTGAGACATTTTATCTAAGGGAATGACACCATACATAAAATTACTAAATCCTTTTACAACTGGAAGATCCTTTCAAATTTGATTACAGTTCTTTCTACTGATAAAATTCATAAAATATTCAGGTAATAAGGTTATTACCCAGGTACCTTTATGATTTAAACTTAAGTTGATACATAACCGTTTTAAATGAGGAAGTTTCTAAAATGCAATTCTGACCTAAAATAGCAACTACCTGTATGATACAAGTAAAGAATAAAGCAATCTTACTTCTAAATATTTCAGCTATCACATTGCACTGTATGACCGTCCATGTAAATTTCAATACAAATTTATTAGCCGGAGAAAAATGTGCAAATGTGATGAATTGGATATGTTTGTCAACTATAACACTTGAGAAAATCATAATATTAGTAATGTGCGATCCTCAATGTTGAGAGATGACCGTGTGCACCCAGTCATCCCTCACGAGGAGCAGACTGTGCAAAACAATATGAAATATTTTCTCAAACGTTAAATATTTCATTGCAGATTTTGCACAAGCTATCAATGTAAAACCTCTTCATGTAAAAGCATTTACACCAAGTCAGATTTTACACAGTTGTGAGACATGGTTAGTGTGAGGGTTATGATCTTCTCAAAAGC